TAAATGGTACTGGGAAAACCGGACAGCTACATGTAAAAAAAAATGAATTTAGAACATTCTTTAACACTGGACGCAAAAGTAAACTCTAAATGGATTAAAGACCTTAATGTAAGATACTATAAAACTCTTAGAGGAAAACATAGGCAGAACACTCTTTGACATAAATTGCAGCAGTATCTTTTTCAATCCGTCTCCTAGAGTAATGGAAATAAAAACAAAAATAAACAAATGGGACCTAATTAAACTCAAAATCTTCTGCACAGCAAAGGAAACCATAAACAAAACAAAAAGACAACCCACAGAATGAGAGAAAATATTTGGAAACAAAGTAACTGACTAGGGAATAATCTCCAAAATTTACAAACAGCTCATGAAGCTCAATATCAAACAAGCAAACAAACAAACAACCCAATCAAAAATTAGGCAGAGGACCTAAATAGACATTTCTCCAGAGAAGACATATTGATGGCCAAGAGGCACATGAAAAGATACTCAACATCACTAATTATTAGAGAAATGCAAACCAAAACTGCAATAAGGTATCACTTCACACAGGTCAGAATGGCCATCTTCAAAAAATCTACAAACAATAAATGCTGGAGAGGGTGTGGAGGAAAGAGAACCCTCCTACACTCTTGGTGGGAATGTAAACTGGTACAGCTACTATGCGGAACAGTATGGAGGTTACTTTAAAAAGTAAAAACAGAGCTACCATATGACCCAGCAATCCCACTCCTGGGCACATAGCCAGAAAAAAACATGGTTCGAAAGGATACATGCACCCCAATGTTCATAGCAGCAAGACATGGAAGCAACCTAAATGTTTATTGACAGATGAGTAGATAAAGGAGGTGTGGTACATATGTAAGGGAATGTTACTCAGCCATTAAAAACAATGAAATAATGCCATTTGCAGCAACATGGATAGACGTGGAGATTATCATACTAAGTGAAGTCAGAGAGAGAAAGAGAAATATATGATACTGCTTATATGCAGAATCTAAAAAAAAATGATATAAATGAACTTCTTTCAAAACAGAAACAGGGTCACAGAGTTAGGGAAGGAACTTATGGTTACCAGCAGGGAAGGGTGTGGGGAGGGACAGATTGGGAATTTGGGATTGACGTGTACACAGTGCTATATTTAAAATACATAACCAACAAGGACCTACTGTATAGTACAGTACTGGCTCAATACTCTGTAATAACCTAAATAGGACACGAATTTGAAAAATAATAGATACATGTATATGTATAACTGAATCACTTTGTTATACACCTGAAACATTGTTAATCAACTATACTCCAATATAAAATAAATTTTAAAAAAAATTCAGATTCATGTGCTTCACCTTGGACCAGCCAAACAGGATTTCATACATAGAGTCCAGCAACCTGCTTATTAAATAAACACCTCATGTTAATCTTAGCCACACTGTTTTGAGAACTACTGCAACTATCAAGTTTCATCTAATTCTGTATATTCTATCTTTTCAGTGTTTCTCAACCACTTCTCTCCTTTCCTATAGCTTCTACCCTAGTTTAAGCCTGCTTCATTTCTTAGCTGGACATCTGTAATAGGATTTCCTTGCCTCTAGGATATTTTCCACTCTAATTCATCCTGCACACAGGGGCCTTTTTAATCTTACTAAATCACAGCTCCACTCATTTAATGTGACAAGAACTTATCGAGAGCATACTATACCAGGTGCTCTAGGGCAGAAGGTTCTAAGTGCCGTTGATAATCAGAATCATTAAGTGGGAGAAACCTTTTAAAAACAGAGATTCTCTAGCATTCCTCCAGGCCTACTAAATTAGAATCTATAGAGCCAGAGTTGAGAAAAGTTTATTGTTAAAAAGTTCCCCAGGTGACTCTGATACTTTTGAGCAACACTAGACTGGAGCATATAAAGATTAAAACATTCTTCTATATTTCAGATTGTACTGGGGGAGTTGTGAACATATGCAAATAACTAACATACAACACATTGGTTAATGTGTACCAAGTGCTACAAGAAAGAGTAATTCTAATTGCATTAAACACTTTTAGTAACACGCCAACCTGGAAGAAATCTTTTCCTCCTCTAATTTCCCACAGTACTTTATAATTCTCTTACAGTCTCATTTTTATCTTGCACTATAATTATTTTTGTATATGTCTCCTGTCCTTTACACTTGCATTTGAGATCAGAACCTTGGCCTTATCAGAGCACAGAATCTGACAAAGAATTTTTTTTCAGAGTTCTAATTTATTTACAGGATAAAGCTGTATCCCCCAAAATACTAAACTATGCATGGTTATGCATTTAATAAATTATGTCAAAAATTGGATGTCCTTGTAACTCTTGGATATATGTGGCTAAATTTATGGATTTTAATCTCAGCAAGGCACTTAGTACAGTTCCTTCAATAAAGCAGGTACTCAATAAAAAAGTTATGTGTGAACCAATGGGATCTGGGGAAAATGTCTTTGGATATGCAAAAACATACTTAGTATGTCCAGTATCTACTTAAGAGGTTATAGATTCCAAATGAAATAATATGCTGGTGGTTTTTGCAAACCAGATCCCTATGAGCCAAAACCAATCAGCTTGTTTTTCTTTGTTTGTTTGGATGACCCGGTATTTTGTTGGTGTGCTGGGATGTGTGTGTGTGTGCGTTGTGTTTTTTGTTTTTTGACAAATTTTAATTTGAATGTCTTTGGGCAAATATTCTCTGACTTACCACAGGCTCTCCCACTCCCTATTACCTTATGCTAATCTGATGTACACAATTATGTTATCTATAGGTCTAAAGATGAGAGGTCTAATGATGACAGACAACTGCTCCCAATCATTTCTTCTTTTTGAGTGTTGGTTATTGTTACGGACTGAATTGTTTCCCCCCCCCACAAATTCATATGCTGAGTCCTAATCCCCAGTACTTCAGAATGCAACCATATTTGGAGATAAGGTCTTTAAAGAGGTAACTAAATTAAAATGAGGTCTTTAGGATGGGCCCTAATCCAATATGTCTGATATCCTTATAAGAAGAAATATGGACACAGATGTGTATGTCCATGAAGTAAAGACCATGTGAAGACAGAGGCAAAACTACATGCCAAAGAGAGAGGTTTCAGAATGAAATCAACCCTGCTGACACCTTGATATTGGACTTTCTAGCCTCTAGAATTGTGAGAAAATTAATTGCTGCTGTTTATTCCCTCAGTCTGTGGTATTCTGTTACAGCAAACCCAGAAAACTAACACAGCTACCAACTATATTTAATACTAATCTTAACTTAGGCATTTTTACATCAGAATTATGTTTACCATGTTCAAGTCATTCTGCCAGGTACAGTGGTGAATACAACTCTAAGTAGCTTAGAATCTAGCAGATGTGGCAAACTATATGTAAGATACATTCATCAACATAAATGATAAAAACTTTACCAGTCCTAAAGAACAAAAAAGCCAAATAAAGAGTATATTTATAATTCTATAGGTGTTCTGGAGGGAGAGAGTTAACTATGGGTTACAGCTCAAAAAAATTCAAAATGTGACCTGGGTCGTGAGAGATTAGTAAGATTCAACCAAGCAGAGGGGAGAGGACATTTAGGTGAGAGGAATGGACAGTACAAAGTCAAATGCTACTAGAGAACATTGTTTTTCCCAAGTAAATCTACCTTAGATTCAGGTCTCCTTTCTTGGCTTTCTAAACTCTATAACCACTATATATTTCTTAATTAATGTCCTAAATCCTTACAAAATTTAGGCATTTTCCCCCTGCAGATAAATAACAGTATAACTGACTTTGTTCAGTATAATACTGACATGCAAAGGATGGTCTGGTTCATCTCTAAAGCCTCTTGGGCTTCTGCTGAGAGTTGGTTTTATTTTCAAATGGTCTATGAGGGCAATAAGCATCTCACAGAACATTCTCTTTTGAAATCTGGCCATTTTTTGATCTCTTGCTTGTCAAACCTCATCACAGTAGATGGCTCCACAGTGCATGTGGCCTGTGTTTTCTTAAGTGCCTCTTCTTCTGAAGAATGTGTTACTCTGCTCATTAATGTTTCATACCTAAGTATTCTAATATATTTAATTTTTTATTTAATGAAATTTCTAACCTTCAGGCTAAGTTATTTGGAATGTTTCATCCAAGCTGCTGGAAAAGTGCTCAATAGCAAGGAGTTTTAAAGATGGAATTTTAAGAAAGGGGTTGGCAGGAACCTAAACACATATAGATCTAAGCTTTCACAAATGCTTCCCTGTCTTAAGTGTAGAGGAAGAAATTCTTCTTGATAAGCAGGTAAGTTCTGCTGAATTTTTCTTTTAGATTTTGGAGACAAGAATTTAACGACTTTTGTTTTGTTGAAAGATGTGTTTCAAAGCTGTAAGTTTTTTTAAAAAGTATTATTTGTCTGTAGAAAGCCTTACTTCTCCTCCATCATTTCAACAATGCTTACGTTCTTCCATAAATGAGAGACTTATGTGAGACCATTATCGCCAAAAGAGATACACGTTGAACCAAAGGAGCCATGCATAGCACCTGGTTTCAATTATTTTAGATTCAAGTGATGAGCTAAGAAAAGAGGAGCCTCAGCTTAATTAGTTTGATTCCTGAAATGGTCTGGATTCAAAGCACCTGCCCATCTTACCATCTAACTTCAGACTTAACGGGAGATTAAGAACTTAAATTAGAGAAGCTTTTAGACTGTTACATAAAATTTTTAAATTAAGCTCTTTAATACCCGGTTTAGATGAAATTTGACGGATGAAATTTGACGGTCAGAAATAACTAGAATTTTAAATTTAACCGTAACTCAAGTTGCACCCAATATTTAAAGACTACAAACTGTGTACGATACAGTAAAAATTCACACGGTAAACCATTACTAAATGTTTAGAAATCCAAATTTTCACCTTTTCCTTTTTTTAGTACCCGCTCCCCGGGTGACAAAGTGGACTCAAGTTTCCGTTACCCCTTACCCAACAAGGGGTGATGGTACTACACGCTTACCTTGGGGAAACAACTTGCACTTTATAAATGGACAGGAAAATCGTTTGGTGAGAGAGAAGGCTAAAGGAAACGAAGGCCGGTGGCGTGACCGTAGCACAGGCCCGCGGTTACTCTTGAGGAGACGACCTCAGCCCCAAACCACCTTGACCACCTAACAGGACCGCTTTTCCCGCGGCGTCTCGCCTTCCGGCTGTAAGTCACCACAGCCCGCCCACCGGAAGCCATCGTCATGGCAGCGCAGTTTGGTCCCACCCCATCACTTCGCCCCGCCCACCGCCTTGTACGCTTGCGGCCAGCCGGGCTTCGATTGGTCCATCTGTCCTTCACTCTGGGAGACGTTCCGGGCTGCGAGGCTCTGGAACTCTTACTTGAATTTGTGGCGCGGAGAGTTCGTGAGGTAAGGAAGGCAGCTGTGTGTCTTGCTGGAGCCAACAAACTGGGTGGTGAGCGACCCTGAGGGGAGAAGGACGAAAAGGGCGGCCGAGGTGCAGGGACGCTGAGTCAAACAAGCCGCCTCGAGATGAGGGGCTTCAGCCGGGCTTCTTCCCTCCCTGAGGCAGCCCCTCTGTTCACTTCCTCGCAGCCTCTAGGTTCTTCTCTCACGTCGTTTTCCTCGCGTCTCAGAGACAACGCGCCCGCCCCTATTCTGTCGCCCCTGGAGGGAGGCTCCTCCTGACGCTCCCTTTTCCTCTTCTTTCGCCAACGGTGTCTCTCAGTTCCTTCCCTCCCCAGTAGCGACCCTCCGACCCTGCCGTGCTAACACCTCCCCCAAGCGTACTTGACTCCCCCAGACTTCTTTCGTAATTATATCCGGCTCTCCATCACCAACACTGTCAGAAACTTTCTACCTGCCCTTGACAGTGTGGAAAAGACTCCTGAGCAACCTGGGGACCGCCCCACATCTCACAAACTGAGTCCAGAACGTTCCTTATCAAGGAATAGGATGCTGCTGTCCACTTCTTCCCAACTGGGACGCTTTTCCAGCGGAAAGCGGCAAGTGCAAGCGCTGTATAAAGCGCTACAGAAATGTAAGGTCTTGTCCCAGTTGCTGACTCTGAATGATTGGATTCCTGTCGAAAATAGGATTATTTTGTTCTTGGTCGGACCCTGTTAACACATACGTTTCGTTTTGGCGTTATGAATACTTTCCAGACCTTAAAACAGAACAAAGCCAATAGGTCTGTTGGGGTACAGTGAAACTGAGGCTTCATCGGTAACATAAAAAACAAACAAGCAAAAAAACACTGATTGAAAAGTGTTCTCTTCATTAACCTTCTGTGTCTATTATGATCTGACTCCCCCCACTACATCCCTATCGACTGAATTTCAAATTGAAATTCAGAACCACTTAAAGAGTTTTATAGCATAAATGGACATCTTTTCCTATATCCCCTGTCTATGACTATGAAAATCTTCTATTTTCTTTCTAATCTTATCATTCAACTTGATTTTCTGTATGTCCAGCCTCTGGAACAGAGGTTCTTTTTTTGTGTGTGTGTGGGTGGGGGGGGTCATAGTCCCCTTTAAGAAGCAAGGAAAACCTTGAATCTTTTGTATAGAATATGACACATACACACAAAAATTTTGTATCAATTTCAGGGAGTTTTAAAGTCCACTCTGAAGTACCGATTTCCATAGAACCTAAGTCCAGTTCTAGAAGTGTATTTATATTTCTTAAAAAGTAGAAATAGTTAAACAGCCAAAGCAGCTAAGTGCTTTACTTCTTAAAAATGGCCGTCCCTGGTGGCGCAGTGGTTGAGAGTCCGCCTGCCGTTGCAGGGGACGTGGGTTCGTGCCCCGGTCCGGGAGGATCCCGCCCGTGAGCCATGGCCGCTGGGTCTGCGCGTCCGGAGCCTGTGCTCCGCAACGGGAGAGGCCAAAACAGTGAGAGGCCCCGCATACCGCAAAAAAAAAAAAAAAAAGGCCGTCATTTAACTTCTGAATTAAGACTTGTTCTGAAGAAAGTTGGGATGGGAAAGCTTGAAGAAGTTGTATTAGTAGCACCACTTTCAATTGAGCACTGGGTTAATAATTTAGAGAAGTCACTGAAATGCTTTCTAAAATTAAAGGAAGGTCATTCACAGATGAGGGTATGGGCACACAGGTATACAAGAAGTAAATTGACAAGATGTATCTTTTTGCATTAACATAAAAATTAGGAGAATACTTGATCAACATCAAGAGTTAAAATATTTTTTGTGCCTTAATGTTTTGGATGTCTTATAGTAAAATGATTTTTATCGTGAAATTCCACTAGCTTGTTCTGAATATAATTTACATCATCAAACATTACTTTTTCACATTAGAACTTTAGTTCACCTGAAACTTAGTTTTGTGTATGATGTGAGAAATGGTTTTAACTAAAAATTTTTTGTTGTTTTGTTGCTGTTTGGAAAACATTGGCCCATGGGCCAAATCTGACACACTATGTTTACGTAAATAAAATTCTGTGGGAACACAGGTACATCCACTTGTTTACTTGTTATCTGGGTGCTTTTGTGCTACAATGTTGGAGTTGAGTAGTTGTGACAGAGACTATATGGGCTTCAAAGCCTGATATATTACTGTCTGGCCCTTAACAGAAAGAGTTTGCCAACCTCTGGAATAGGACATCCTTTCCTCACTGAATGGATAATGTCATGTTTCCATACAGTTTCTACATATATATGTGTATATATATATATATATATACACACATATATACATATGTGTGTGTGTGTGTGTTTGCCTTTGTTTTTGAGCTTCTAGTCTGTTTCATTTGTCTCGCCCTGCACATATAACATAGTGTTTTAAGTTACTTTATCTCTAAACTAAGACAATATTCAGTAGGGTAAACTGCTCTCTTTACCCCCTATACCAAGTTGTTCTCTTGTCTTATTTATTCTTGGCCCTTAGATCTTCCATATAAATTTTTATGATCAGTTTACTAAATACCATGAGAAATCTTCTTGGGGTTTTGATAGGAATTGCTTTGAATATACACATTAATTTGGGAAGAACTGTCATCTTTACAATATTCAATTTTTCCATCCATGAACATAGTATATCCTGATTGTTTTATGTCTTTTAATGTGATCTTAAAATTTTTTTCTTTAGAGTGTTACATAAGGGAAATTGGTCTTGGTTTTGCTTTCTTGTGATTTTCTGATTTTAGCATTAGGGCAGTGCTGTCTGACTTCTTTAAATGATCTGAGATGTGTTGTATTCTTCTCTATTTCTTGAAAGATTTTGTATAGGATTGGTATTATTTTTTGTTAAAGATTTGATAGAAAACACCAGTGCATCCATCCAGGCCTGGTGCTTTCTTTTTGCGGAGGTTTAATGAAATTAGGAAGATGAGAGTAAATTCTATTGGCCTACATCTTACCATTTCTGACACTCTATCTCTTCTTGTAGATCCAAGTTTTCATTTGTTTCCTTCAGTCTGAAGAACTTCCTTTAACATTGCTTATGGTATGGCTTGTTGGTAATGGATTCTATTAGGTTGTGTTTTTTTTTTTTTTTTAACTTGAAAAGGTTTTTAGTTCACTTTCAATTTTGAAACATTTATTTTTAAGCTGGATATATAATTGTGTTTTTTAGTACATTAATATTCTATTTTTTTCTGTCTTGTGTTGTTGTTAGTAAGATATTTGGAGTCATTCTGATCTTTGTTCTCCTGTATGTAATGTGTCTTTTTTCCACCCCCTGGCTGCTGCTTTTTATTAAAGTCAGTTTTATTGAGGCTTAATTTACGTATGGTAAAATTCACTCTTTTTAGGAGTATAGTTCTATGAATTTTGATAAATATAAGCAATTGTGAACTACTACCATAATCAAGATATGGAGTATTTCTGTAGTCTATAAATTTACCTCATGCTCCTTTATCATCAATTCTCAGATCCCATACCTATACCCTAGCAACCACTGATCTGATATCTGCCACTATACGTTTGTACTTTGAGAACATGATGTTAATGGAATTCTGTAGTATGCAGCCTTTTATGTCTGGCTTCTTTCACTTGGCATAACGCGTTTAAGATTCATTCATGTTGTTGCATGTATCAGTAGTTTATTCCTTTTTCTGTGTGAATAGTACTCCATTATACATATGTACCATAAGTTGTTTATCCATTAGCCAGTTAATGGACATTTGGGTTGTTTTAAGGTTTTGGCTATTAGTAATAAAGCTGCTATAACCATTTGCCTGCAGGTCTTTGTGGGGCCATAGATTTTTATTTTTGCTGGGTGACTACCTAGGAATGAAGCTGCTATGTTATAAGATAAATGTATGATTAACATCCTAAAATACTACCAAACTTTTTCCCAAAGTGGCTATTCCATTTGTTTTCCTATCGGCAGTGTATAGCAGCTCTGGTTATTCACATCAGCTCTTGGTGGTGTTAGTATTTTAAATTTTAACTATTCCATTCAGCATGTATTGATGTTTCATTGTAATTTTAATTGCATTTCTCTGATAACTCATGATGTAGAGCATCTTTCATTTATTTATTTGCTATATGTATTTCTTCTATGGTGAAGCATTATTAAAATATTTTGCCTATTTTTTTGGACAGCTTTATTGAGTTATAACTAACATACAACAAATTGCATATTTTTTAATTATTATTTTTTTATTGGAGTATAATTGCTTTACAATGTTGTGTTAGTTTCTGCTGTACAATGAAATAAACCAGCTATATGTATACTTATATTCCCTGCTTCTTGGACCTCCCTCCTACCCCTCACCCCCCATCCCACCCATCTAGGTCATCACAGAGCACCGAGCTGAGCTCCCTGTGCTATACAGCAGGTTCCCACTACCTGTTTTAAACGTGGTAGTGTACTTATGTCAAACAAAGTCTCCCAATTCGTCCCACCCTCCACTTCCCACTCTGTGTCCACATGTCTGTTCTCTTCGTGTGCATCTTTATTCCTGCCCTGCAAATAGGTTCATCTGTGCCATTTTTCTAGATTCCACATATATGCATTAATATACGATATTTGTTTTTCTCTTTCTGGCTTACTTCACTCTGTATGACAGACTTTAGTCTAGGTCCATCCACATCTCTACAAATGACCCAATTTCGTTCCTTTTATGGCTGAGTAATATTCCCTTGTATATATGTACCACATCTTTATCCATTCATCTGTCATTGGACATTTAGCTTGTTTCCTTGTCCTGGCTATTGTAAATAGTGCTGC